AGATATGACAACAAATCGCTCTGTCAATAATCAGAATCCTCGCAGAAAGGAGACATAATATATGATATACCCTAGTGGTTTCCGCTATGCATGTTTAACTTAATTGATAATGCTACATATTATGCTTTGTACCAGTTCCAAATCCACGTAACGCCAGCACAATACATATGGGGTTAATCAGCTTGAAAGATTACGCTGATGTTGATTGTTATTTTATTTTGTTAAGCCGAGAATCTTTCATTGACAGGGCAGTCTGATTATTTGATGAATGTATACTGAAGTTAAACATATGCATATGAGAGAGAGAGAGAGAGAGAGAGAGAGAGAGAGAGAGAGAGAGAGAGAGAGAGAGAGAGAGAGAGAGAGAGAGAGAGAGAGAGAGAGAGAGAGAGAGAGAGAGAGAATAGGTATCGTATACTATAGTAGCATGTAGCAGTAATATTTGACGTGCGCTGTGTGAAGACTTGACAAACGTTTGTGAACATTTCTTTGATATCGTTGATATCAGGCAGAAAAAGGTTTGTCAAAGAAATTAATGCAGACGACTGTAGACGGTTAAATGTGATGTGCATATAAACGACAACGTAGGACAATCAAATTAAACATAAAGCTTTCTTGCTTGTATTACATAAAAATGGTCAGTTGTAGCTAGGTCAGCAAAGAGAATCCACTGAAGTATAAATTTTAATGGTAATGCTTAACATCTATCCATTTACACAGTGTCATTGATAGCTCTCTTTGTGAATTGTTTCACAAGTCTTTGGAAAAACGCATGAAAAATTGATACGATTAGAGGTCTACATCAATCTTTAGGGGTTTTTTATTCCAATAAATTGTAAACCAGTCATGAACATGAGAGACAGAATCGATGCGTTTACGATTGATTGATTGATTGTATGTTGTTTAACGTCCCTCTCGAGAATTTTTCACTCATATGGAGACACCACCACTTGCCTGTGGAGGGCTACAAATTTTGTCGTATGCTCGGCACTCTGGGCCTTTGAGCAGTGAGGGATCTTTTTCGTGCCAGCACCTACTGCGACACGGGGCCACGGTTTATACGGTTTCATTATTTAGTCATACCGGTCTCCACGTCCCACAGTGGGATTCGAACCCGCGACGTAAGAATTGACTCCTTACTTCGCGACTCTAGAGCAGACGCTCTAACCACTGCGCCACGCGGGCGACCTTTTACGATTGACAAAGAGGGTATTACTTATTTGTACAGGACATTTAATTTTACCGTAGGAATAAATAGAAAATATAATTATTAAAAATATTCTTCTCAAGAGCTACTAATCCATTATTCCTGTTATTAGTAATATTTTAAAATATAGAAGTATCCTCGGGTGTATTCGAGTTTGTTCAAAACATGACCGGTGCACGTGGTTGGGCAGAGACACAACAGAGAGTTATATGTCTACACAGGATATACCGGTATAGGAAATGTCTGTAAAAATCTTCTTCTCAGGATCAATTAACTTGTAAGCCATTAATATTAAGTCATATTTTTACCGAAGCCACCTATAGTATTTCAAAATCAAGTGAACATCCCCTGCCGATCGGTCACACCCGCTGTTTACTCCTTGCATATTGCAAATCCTTTTTTTTTAAAATTATATTTAAAATTGCGATTTGAAAAGTATCGAGGAAATTTTTATGTTTATATGTATTTCCTGAAAATGAGACTTTTATAAGATATAAATTCACATCCTACAGGCGTTCCTATCAAAATTACTCCGCAATGTACACATTACAAAAGCTGCATATTTTGATAAAATGTTTTAAAATTATTCTTTTTGATATCGGCAAATCAGAAAAAATGTGGAAGGTAAGGTTCATCTGAAGGCAAACAATTATCACTGTACTTAGTTCATGTACATATTGCTGTTTTTGATATTTATTTAATATTTAACTTACAATCAAAATGTAAATGTACAATAGTGGGATAAGCAAATTTTGGTAGAAAAAAAAATTTAAATCGTTAATAACGATATAATTTTCCCTTTATGACAAATAAGTAATATCACTATAGTGAGGTAGAATCTCGTTATTAAGAGATCGTTATCGTATTAGGACGAGACTACGTATTTATTTTAACGAGATACTAAATCGATAGACAAAGATACGATTTCGATCTAATGAGATATAATCATAACGAGATGATAATCTGGTTTAAATATACCGAGTTTCAAATTTTGCTTTCCTCAAAATTAAGCTTATCGCGATTTTATACAGAGGAAAATGGAAGACATTTTTATATTTTGTAGCCCTGACGTACCAACTCTCTTCTGTGCCGATTATTATTCAAAGAATGGAAACTGTGTTCGTAAGAATGAACAATGATTTTATCAAACATTTGGTTAATGTTAATTAATATTGTATTCACTTAATATTTATCTAAAAATCATATACAGAAAATTAATCTCGATGAATTATTTATTAAATTAAGACTCTTCTTAAGACCAAATTTGTTTAAGTTCTTGTCTAATTTAATCTATACAGGATAAGTGCTTACCAGGTTTTGAAGCAAAATTGCAAAATCATGTTAATTTCATTTAAGGATTACATATCTAAAACCTGGCGGTAAATTGTCCAGCGAATGTGCAAATCAAAATTAAACAGTTTTGATAAAAATGAGCAGTAGATATATTATGCATTTTGGCTTTGATAATAAAATGAGAAGTAGAAGTGCAGATTAGAAATAAAACTACTGAAAGATGACGAGATAAAATGGGTAAAAATAATCATACATGAAAGTCATCTTAAGGCCAAGATCTAATAAATGAATTAAACCCAGTAATGTTTTTGTGCTAGATCCATTATGAGGTCATAATCATCGTAACTTTTTCCCCTATACAATTTGGGTCAAATAAAATTATGTAGAAAATTAAATGTTTTTCATTGGATTTTGTGAAATCAGGTGGACAGTAATCCCAATACCTGTATTCAATTTAATATTACTTTAAAAGAGAGTCTAAAAATATTCAAATTACTGTCTGAGAGACTGTAGGCAATCTATATACATTTCCTTTGTGTTTGATTTTTTGTGGATTAAATCACATATTTGATATTCATTTTATTTTATAACACGAAAAAGCCTGTCCTCCAGGATACTTTGGACCCAATTGTAGTCATGCCTGTCCCTATCCAACATATGGAGAGAATTGTACAGAAGGCGAATGTGAATGTCCAAAGGAATCATGCAGCATCAAATATGGATGTGTAAAACGTAAGCATTTTTCCTCACGTAAAAGTATTTGATGTATCATTACTCTCCTCTTAAAGATTAAATAAGTGTGATTGGTATTTGACCATCACAATATAAATTTAAATTATTTCATGAGGAACATACTTTCAAGTGCAGTTGAGTGTGCATCAGCAAAACCCCATATCTAGTAATATCTAGTAATATCTTTATTTCGAGATTCTTGCTTTGAATGATTTTTTAAAATAGATTTTCGAACATTTTTTAACTTTAACTGTTATACATTTTGCCCTTTAGTAATTAAAATATGTCTGAAATAACTTTTATTTAAATGTTTATCTTAATTTAATGTTTTCTTTATACGTTTAGAAAGTAGTATGAGTCCATGGTTAATGTCAGCAATATTTAAAACCACGTCGTCACCAATTCCCTCTCTTCAGGAGGATCTCAAGGAATCGACAAGTTATTATGCCAAGAAGCAATACCAGGATAATTTTCACGAAATGGCTAATGAAACCAGAAGTAAAATAGCAGCCGCAACAAAGTCGGATGATATTCAGTATCAGAGACGCTATACAGCGACTATTTTGATTTCTGTCGCTGGAACAGCTATTTCTGTCCTTTTGATTGTGACCATTGTATATCAATTTAAGTCAAAATGCCTTAATCATACTGAGAACCCATTGCATTTGTCTGTTACTTCTGTCTACGAAAGAGAGGGTGAATATTCAGAGGTAATACGAATTAACAATTAAGTTTATGAACATTTTATGTGTAATTTGTTTTATAAATCTTGATTGATAACGTTTCCTTTGAAGATTTTCACAGTAAAAGTTACTATAAAACGTTTCAATCCATGTTCATGAACTGAAATCGAAGGAAATGAAATTACATAATGATTATACTCCCACACTGTTAATTCGCTCATTTTCAGACATGAACATCCTTTATAGGAAACTCAAAGAGGTTTTTAATAAGCTTTTATTATGATATGCTCTGAATAAATATTCCAATCTATTTGTTTTACTCTCTCTTTCCTAGTCAATAGATGCTTGAGGAAAATAAAGCAAAATGTTTACGTCTGAAGAATATGTCACCCAGTTATCATACTCTTCATAGTTCATACATAGTTTTCAGTAATAAATGTTTCTGTAATTGTACATGAACCTTGCCATATGGAGAGAATGGTCCTAAACATTTATGCGTTCTTCTCAATGCATCTAATTTATATGAATAAAATACACGGGTATTTAAAACAAAACAATATATATGAGAATCAGCATCCTCTAAACCAGATGTAAATACTTAAATTTCCAAAGAACTTTTGGAAAATTGACATCACAAAAGTTTACCAAAATTAATAAAATCAATACGTAAAATTTTCAACTCTATATACAATCATTTCCCTTGAGTCCAGACTGATTGACAGCTGCTTTTTCAATACGTCATAGTGAATCTCGTGAATTTGATAATGTTGCCATTTGTCATTTGAAAATGAATTTGTTAAAACACTTTCTGATTGTATACAAGTATTCTGAAATTTGATATGAGATATAATCTATGCTTCTGATTGACAATGTATATGTGGTTTAAGAGACAAGATCTTCCAACAATCTGCCCGAACACTTGCATATATGAAGGATGAAGGATATGATAAGGAAAAAATTTAAAAAGAACTGAAGAAATAATTTGAAAACAAAAAATATAATGATTTGAGTAGCTGTCAAGTTATGCAGATGTGTCATTTCAAATGGATAGGGAAATAATTTTAGTTTAAATTTGCATTCAAGCACCGTGTTGTAATCGAGTTTTTATTTATTTATTTTTTTTTTTAGATCTTCCGGATCAATAAACGTAATGATTGAAAAATCAAATTAAGGGTAATAAAAAAAATAAAACTTAATTAAAACATACATCTCGTTCATAAACATAGCACTAGTATTTTGTTTCGAAAATATTTTAAGTCAGTAAAGGTTTACAAGGAGTTAAAAGAAATCGAAGACAACGAATATACAAATATAGGCACATTATGAAAAAAATTATATGATTTATATAAAGACTGTAATGACTTACAACAGACTCACCATCCTACAACGAAATTTTATACGTCGTCCAAAACGGTAAGTAGCCATTGCTGTGGGGACCACAACCATGCTACCGACACATCAAAAAAATAATATATAACTCTTTATTTTAAATGCTGTATGTGTAACACATATCTTAAATCAACATCGACGTATCCAGAAGTGAAAAAAAAATAGATAGATTACATGACAGTACGTACTGGTCCCTGCTGACAAAGGAGGTAACAACATTGTCTTAGTTTGTAAGGCTCATGTCTGTCTTCCGTCCTTCTGTCACACTTTGCGTTTAGCTCTGCTCAAAGCTAAGTTTCAAAGAAACTATCCAAGATATTTTCATCAAACTTCATATGCTGATAGATATTGATGAGAGCTATGCAACTGCATCAACATTTTTTGACCTTGACCTTTCCTTTGACCTTGACCTCACTTTTGTTAAATTAGTGTTTAGCTCAGTTTTAAACATACCATTTAAGATGGATTTATCAAACTTCACATGTTGATACAAACTTGCATGGATGATGCATCTCGGGATGAACACTACCAGATTTGCTTCGGATGCTGGATCTGACTTACATTTTCCAGATGAGTGACCAGATTTAAGTATTTGGAGCAGGTCCATTCCTAAGGAATTATAAGCCCTACTTGGACCAAACTTGCATGGATGATGCATCTAAGGATGGACACTACCAGACTTGCTTCGGATTCTGAATCTGACCTACATTTTCATTCCCAAGAAACTATAAGTCCTACCTGAACCAAACTTGCATGGATGATGCATCTAGGGATGGACACTACCAGACTTGCTTCGGATGCTGTATCTGACCTATATTTTCATTCCCAAGTAACTATAAGACCTGCCCGAACCAAACTTGCATGGATGATGCATCTAGGGATGGACACTACCAGACTTGCTTCGGATGCTGGATCTGACCTATATTTTCATTCCCAAGTAACTAAAAGCCCTGCCCGAACCAAACTTGCATGGATGATACATCTAGGGATGGACACTACCAGACTTGCTTCGGATGCTGGATCTGACCTATATTTTCATTCCCAAGTAACTATAAGCCCTCCTACCTTGCAACCAAACTTGCATGGATGATGCATCTAGGGATGGACACTACCAGACTTGCTTCGGATGCTGGATCTGACCTATATTTTCATCCCCAAGTAACTATAAGTCCTACCTGTACCAAACTTTCATGGATGATGCATCTAGGGAGGGACACTAGCAGACTTGCTTCGGATGCTGGATCTGACCTATATTTTCCAAACAAGCAATTCAGCTGCATCACTATTCAAGATATTCTGATCAAATTTTATACACATACAAATTTTCATGTTGCTTTACTAATACATCCTCGGCGGGGCATTCATGTCCTATGGACATATTTCTAGTTCTACAAGTGGTAATCCAAATTATACTCATAGTTCCTTTCTAAGGAAGAAATTATTCAAAATCATATGTCAGTTTTGAAAATGATTTTGAACTACCATTTATATATATATATTTAAGGAATGAATTAAATAGCTACCCATTTTATACGGTATAAACTGGGTTGGGGCAGTTTACACTTTATAAAACGCGAAGCGGTTTATAAAAAAGCGTAAACTGTTCCAACCCAGTTTATACCGTATAAAATGGGTAGCTATTAAATTCATTCCTTATAATTTAATTTTCACTCATTTGATATAAGAAAAAAAGATGATTGTTCTAACAAAATGACAAAAAGTTTGTACAAAATTTGAATTTAACGTCTGGCGGATTGATACGTTTTTGACGTAAGTCATTGTGACGTAGGCAACCCATTTTATACGATATGAAGTAAATTTTTTATCCAATCAAATACAGCGTTACAACCAGAATTAAATTATAAAGCACTTAAAAACTGATATATCTCCTGATAGATGCAATAAAATATTGGTTAGAATTTAAAAAATTGACAATTTTTATTGTTCGTGTCGTTGGTTATTTTTAGTGCTTTATATGTAAAGATATATGACCGGTCGGCAGGGGATGCTAACTCCTCCAAGGCACCTGATCCCATTTTGGATATTTCCTCTGCTCCTATTTTGTAATTTGTATGGTCTTTTGATCTGGAACACTGTCTGTGATCTCATTATATTTCATGTTGAAATGACACTTTAAGAGACTTCAAATGAATACAGAAGGAAAAAAAAAGATAAAGAAACTATCTCTAGATATTTATCAAAGAATTGAAAAGGGACTTTCCTTACAGATTTTTTAATGGTACTTGGACACAGATTTGAAGTTAATATTTTCTCTATAATATTACGACTTATATATTTTAATAGCATTTCACACAAAAATAAATTAAAAATCTTATCTCATTTAAAAGTTATTAAAACTTTAAAGTATTGACGGGTTTGATTGACACATTCTTGCACTTTCAAAAATTTTATTTTAATTCTTAATACTGAGGAAAAGTGGCAATCTTATTGTGTATAAATGAAAAAAATATTAATACTATAATCCAGAAAATTGAAAGTAAACATGTTCGAAAGCAAAAACAAACACACAATATATTGTCAGTTCGTGCAGTTGTGGCGAGCAGACTTTGACGATTGAACGGACCCGGTGAATCGTAAACATCAATAATAACAAAGCTCGTGTCTTGTTTACAAAAACTGTGTACATAACACGAGTGTGGTTGATTTGCTAAACTCTGCACACAACTCTTAACTCGGAATGACGATACTTGTGAATGAGTTTTGCTTTCTAACATATTTCTACTCTGAATAAAATTATTTTTCTGAATTAAAGTTTTAATATTTCTCATTAATAAACAACAAGATTGCCACTTTTCCTAAAGATTAATAATAAAGTTAAAATCTGTGAAAGTGCAAGGGTGTGTCAATTAAACCCGCCAAAAAATTTGAAGTTTTAATAACTTTTAAATGAATAAGATTTTAATTAATTCTTGTGTGAAATGCTATTTAAATATTTAAGTCGTAATATTATAGAGAAAATATTAACTTCAAATCTGTGTCCAAGTACCTTTAAAATAATACTTTTATGCGGGGAACACGGCGGATGTGACAGATTAAATGAAATTCTTTCTATTATTTCCTATCCATTTGTAATTGAGATGTGTTCCTATTAAAATACACCGGTGCAATTCCATTATGAACAAGGGGCCCATGGGCCACATCACTCACCTGAGCACTAAGGGTAGGAAAAAGTAGAAAATGGTTTTTAATGTAAAGTTTAAATCCAAAAGTAGTCCCATGACCAATCATGGATTTGCTATTTTTTAAAAAATGATTTTTAAAGAAATTTCCTATATATATCTTTGAAAATTTTGGTCGGCCATTCTGGCCCCGCCCTACCCCTGGGGGTCATGATTTGAACAAACTTGAATCTACACTACCGGAGCATGCTTTCATGTACTGTAAACCAACTTTTATTCGAGTGCGAGAAATTTTCGCGAGGTTCGCGAGAGCCTCCTCATCGCGAATATTTCTCACCGCGAACGCGTCCTTAATAAAAAATGTCTCTTTTTCTACTAAAACAGTTCCAAAAAGGCTTGATCGCGAAAATAAATCGTCGCGAACTAGTTTACTCACTGTAAATCGCGAAATAAAGTCGTCGCGAATAAAAGTTGGTTTACAGTATATATGATGAATTGTGGCTTTGTCATTCTTGAGAAGAAGATTTTTAAAGAATTTTCCTTTATATTTCTATGTAAAACTTTGGTCGGCCATTTTGGCCACGCCCTACCCCCGGGGGTCATGATTTGAACAAACTTGAATCTACACTACCTGAGCATGCTTCCATATGAATATGATGAAATATGGCTTTGTCATTCTTGAGAAGAAGTTTTTGAATGAATTTTCCTATATATTTCTATGTAAAACTTTGGTCGGCCATTTTGGCCCCGCTCTACCACCGGGGGGTCATGATTTGAAC